TGTATAACATTACTCAATGTGGCACAGGGAGTTTAGGGAGGTGGGGAGGATGAAAAGACGGGGGGTAAAGAGTCACTGTGGGAAGCTATTGCCAATTTTTCCCATTTTGGTTGGGTTCATTCTCCAATCATACACAAGACTCAGTTCTTCTACTTTCAAGTAATGTTTCTCAGATGATTCTACTTTATGCTTTATCTTTCCACTATTTCAATTTTTTTCTGTTCAGTTCTGCAATTGTCAGTTTATACATTTGTAGATGAAGTTTTTTTAATGTAAAATATACTTTTAATGTAGTAGATTTTTACCAAAGTAACCCTTAAATCAAAATGAAATTGTCTGTGTGTGTGATTTGGTGATGTCATCATTTCTGGTAACTTTGTACACCCGCATAGATATTTTTGGTCTTAAAGATTTGTGCCTAGCCTAAGATAGTGATTATTAAAGCTCTCTCCTTCCAGATTGGATGGCACTCTTCAGATATGGATAGCCGGCTTTTCAAAATGGATCGTTGTCTATGTTTGGCATGCTCTTTTGTTTGTTTGTGTGTTCTGTCATGCTCTGAATGTCTTGTTTGTTCTCAGTGTTTCATGTAGTATGTTTTAACAGACCAAAACAAAGTACTGTATATTCACAAGTTTACAGTGCTTTTCCAAGGGATAATTTTTTTGTTGTTGTTGCATTGTTGTTAATTTGTTAACTAATGTAGATAATCATAGTCCCCCTGTAGTCAATCCTTTTATCACTTACAACTCATCTTTGATCAATAATACTTATTTAGTATAATAATACTCAATAAAACATATTTTAAGGTTTTTTCCTTGGAAAAAAAAAATCTTCACAATCTTCAAAAAAATCTTTCCTTGAACGTCAGAAACACCAGCGATTTCAAACTGTATTTTTTAGACTGTCTTTGGTTCACTGCAGTTTTAAGGAGAAAATACTCAGTAATAGTGTTGACTTATGACTTTGCACATGGTTTGTCATAAAGCATTAAAAACACTATATATAATAATATATTAATTAATATATTATTAATAATATATATAATAATAACTATATATACTAATATATATATATGTGAAGAGTTCAGATGCAAAAGCCTCTAAATGCCATTTGAAATTTTCTTCTTTAATGATGATTTTTATCAAACTTGTATATTTAAGTTCAGTAATTTCACTTAAATAACAATTAATCGGTAATTATCATTGCCATTTAAGTGAAATTACTGAACTTAAATATACAAGCTTGATAAAAATTATCATTCTAGAAGAAAATTTCAAATGGCACTTAGAGGCTTTTGCATCTGAACTCTTCATATACTGTGTATAACAGATATATAACAGTTAAATGAAGTTGATATTAATGTATTCTTAACTATACTTTAATCTTTCTAATGTTTTTGTGGAACAAATGTTTTTGACAGACAGTCAGAAATATGTGATGTCATTTTGTGTTGTATTAGATACTCTAAAGTGTGATCCTTCTTTGTTTTTCTATGTTACAGAGGTGAATCCAGAGATTTTAAAGTGATGCTTAAGAAGGCAGTGAAGAAGATCTCCACTGTGCGTCAGGTTGCTCAGCTCACCCTAGCCGATGAGGGCAATGTCTTGATCCATCATCACTGAAGACCTTTTACCTTTGCCTTTTTGAACCCACACCTGTACTGAGAATGAAATGGAATGGGAAGAAATGGAGAACAAGTTAAAAGAGCACCACAACATTATATTTTTGTTTTTCTGTTTTTCACTCAAAAGCACCTAATGAAGCAAGCTTGAGTGTACAGTTTACTGAACAGGGACTTCTCTTAGTTATGGTAGAATCGAGCGTCAGACTTTTTGGTTAAACCAGTGCCCGAAGTAGGATGGGTCGCACTACATTTTATTATACTATACTATATCTGTAGCGTACCCTCACTTTTTCTTGTGTACCGGAACTTATCCTATGTTTACTGTGACTGCAGTTCCAACCATTGTGAGTACATGCACTTTTTTTCTCTCACTCGAACATTAGAACATTTGCTTTGAAGAAGTTTTCAACATATCGAACCATATTGAACCTAATAGCTGTTCACCGTCTCATAAGATATACACCTTTCATTTGGAGTCTTGGTGGTTCACCTGACTTAACATGTACACCTGTAGGAAATACAAGATACTTTTCTGTTCCATTTCTCTATTCTATACAACCTTTCTAAAATGAACCAAAGTCTCACAAGAAGCTAAATGTACCCTGTGGTAATCCACCACTCGGTGAGAGAATGGCGTCAGGTCCAGCTCAAAGACTTAACACATAACAAATCAATTCAAACCATTCACTTATGGATTACCCCCCCCCCCCCCCCTTAGAAAACATGTCTGTGACTGAAGAAAATAGTAAACATAGTATTGAGATAAACTAGACACATAATTGTGCTACCAGTATTAATATGGTGCACATGTCCCTGTGATGATTTGATATTATAATTTTAGATAGTGTAAGTGTTCAAGTGTTCCTAGTGGCAATTTAAATGATATGATTTTTTTTCTACATAGATGCATAATCTATAATAATAGGATAACCATGAAAACCAGTTGAGACAGAATATCAAAATATGTATTACAATGCATGAATCCATATTGTGGTTTTAAAAGCAGGTTTTAAAAGCAGTTTTAAATTAGTGTATGTATACTGCTAAAAAGTTTTGTGTTGATGAGAATTTTTTATGAATAAAATAGTGATATTAAGTAATATTATTACAATTTAAATAACTGTTTTCTGTTTTAAAAAATTGTCTTCAGTGTCACATGATCCTTCAGAAATCATTTTAATATGCTGATATGCTGCTCAAGGAATACTTATTATAATTAATGTTGAAACCAGTTGTGATGCTTCATATTTTTTAGGAAATATTTTATTTTCACTTTTCTTTGATGAATATAATGTTAAAAACTGAATTTATTTGAAATGGAATAATAGTATACATATTGTTTTTTTTTTTTGACCCCAAACTTTTGAATGGTAGTGTATTTGTGTGTAGACAAATATGACTATTTTATATAAAAAAAGAAATAAATTCCCCATGTACTGTAAAAATAAAAATAATATCTGAAAACATCAGGTGTCATTTGTTTAAAAATCAGCTATAGTTTAATTCTGATTGTGCTTATGTGCGTGTAATGTCTTGAAATACTTTGCAGTCACACTGGTTAAAGAAATACAGTATAACAGTGCCCTCTTGTTATGATGACAGTAAACGCAGCAGATGGCGACCTACATTATCATGCCCTATGTGGATTATCCAGTACTGACACTACATAAGACTGCAGAGCCACCAGGTCACCCCTAACCAGATTACCTTTTTTCAAAACCTGTTCAAAAATCTCACAGCAAGATTACCCAATACTTTAGATAGTGATTTTAATAAGTATTAACTGTTTCTTCTTACTATCTCAGTGTAATTGCCATTTGTCTTTGGATAGCTGTTTTTTAAATCAGTCTAAAATTTATATTTTCAAAACTACATATTGGTATTTCAGAAGTCACACTGTGCTTGAGGCATCAAGGTGTATGGGAAAACAATGGAACAAAATACACACTGAAAAAGCTTTCTAATGAAAATGCCAACTGGCCATCAAACAGACAAACAGATCAAAATTGATCCTCACATCTATTTCACCAACACACATTTCAATTTAACCTTATAGTAGTTCCACGAGAGTGAACCAAGTAATTATTTCACAATATTTTCTCAGCAGGTCAAACAGGGCGTCACAAACAGAGTGAAATGTTTTATCATGTGAATGAGACATGTTGGCAGTGGAATGGTTTTTAAACTTGAATAACACAAGGAATTAATAATGTAATTTAATTCATAGAATATAAAGTTAATATTATTTAATCGTTTAAATTAAAATATAGCCTATATGTATATATTAGACAGCACTGGGTGACTAAATTGCTATATTATCCTTATGTTTTTTATTATCCTTTATTATTTGTTTCACTGAATTGGCCACATGTGATCATTTTTATTTAACTTTATTATGGTTAGAAGTGTTTGCCACTGTCCTTCCTGTATCCCTGTAGCACTGTTTTAGGTGTCTTACATAAAATACATTGCCGTTTGCTCTTGCCACACTCTTTCAGTCCTCATGCTCCCCAATAGCATGTTCACACAAGTGTGCAGCAACCTTGGCCATCTTTCTTCTGGTGTTTTTCAGAGTCAGTAGAAATGTCTCTTTAATATTCTAAGTTGTTTGACCTGTGAACTTAAAGGTGCATGTGGATATGGTTCATTGAACAAGCATGGAAAACAATGTTCAAACCCCTTGCAATAAAGGTATATTAGCTTATCTGGATTTCATAAAAGACAGTTTTGATATTCAAGATGAAGATGTTATGAGCATATTTCCCCCAGAAATGTGAAGAAATTTAAATTTACAAGCACATTATCTCAACACACACTTACAAAACACCTTTAAATGCCAGTGCTACTATAGTGTAAAACGAGTGCCTTGCAAGTTACAAGTCCAGATTACAAATCCAGACTTCTTGAGTTGAAAATACCAATCACCAGAAAAATACAATAATAATGTGATAAAAGGATGTATTCATTGGCAAACAGGTAAGAAAGGTAAATAGACAACCGGCTGCTGTAAGTAGAACTAGCAAGTGAAGCGCATTACGAAAGGAATAAACAACACCGACGACAAGGAACCATGAAAACGCCTGTGATAGGACGGATGACCCTTGAGCTAAAAGCTACAGCCAATGAACGCTCGATATCCTATTACGCAAACTGCTTTGCATCAAATCATTGGACAAAACTCTGTCACTCATCAGACGTCACTCTGCCAGTTCAATGAAACTCCGAGTGAAGCCATTGGTCAGTCATGTTGACGTATAACCGAAAAGACCCAGCCTGATTGGTCGTAGCAGCTTTCAATCATACGTTTCGCTCAATCAGGTGCCTCCTGCCACCCACAAGCGAATGACGCATGAGTCATGTGTTGTTTGTGCTGTGCTCCGTAGTGTACACACAGGGCGCGAGGAGCAGATTGGTAGCCCTCTAGGAGGATCTACCGATAATAGATCGGGTAAATGTGGTCATGTTGCAGTTGCTGGCATTGAGTTCTAGGATCATTGACTGGGATATCTGCTTTTTATGTAGCGGCCGAGAGAACCTCAACACTGAAAATACTTCAGCGCGCCTCTTGAGACACGGTTCCCCCCAAACAAACATGGGGTCTCGGTCTATAAGTATGAGGTAAAGTGACCTTTAATCTCCTATCTGATGGCAAATTTCGCGAACTACCAAGAAGGCAAAGCCGCTATGTTGATGTTGGAAACGCAACAGCGGGCTATCGGGACTAACGGTAAACCTGCAACGGCGAACGGCGACGTCTCTGTCGGGGAACCCCCTTCCGTACTGGATGTCGGCGGCGCTGCTTTTCATCAACCGAGTGATCAACATCAACAGCACCTGGAATCACCGGCGAGGAAAGGATCCACGACCTCGTTTAACCGGGCGTACGAGGACTCTGCTGCGAGCAACACACACGCTACCTCAGCTTCCCCAGCTGTGAACACCAGCTCTGCTGTGTCTGACGAAATTAGGAAGTGCGGTTATCTGAGAAAGCAGAAACACGGCCATAAGAGGTTTTTCGTCTTGCGGGGGTCGAGTAAACTGGGGCCGAGCAGACTGGAATACTATGACAGCGAGAAGAAATTCCGAAACACCCTGCGCTCGAGCGCTGCTGCCGCCGCCTCAGCTGGCACCTCTCCCCCCAAAAGAGTGATCTATCTCTACCAGTGTTTCACGGTGAATAAAAGGGCAGATTCAAAGAATAAACATCTCATTGCTCTGTATACTAAGGATGAATACTTTGCCATTGTTGCTGAGAATGAGCAGGAGCAGGAGGAGTGGTACCAGGCGCTCAGCGAGCTTATGAGTGAGGGGAAGAGGGGTCATCTGGACGCGGAAGAGATTGACGATGGATACGGTACTGTGACTCCAGGGACTGACTTTAAGGAAGTGTGGCAAGTGAATGTTAAACCAAAGGGCTTGGGCCAGACGAAGAATCTAACTGGTGTGTATAGGCTCTGTCTCTCTGCCAAGAGCATCCACCTGGTGAAGCTGAACTCTGAGACGCCTTGCGTGAACTTGCAGCTGATGAATATCAGACGCTGTGGCCATTCGGAGAGCTTCTTTTTTATTGAGGTTGGCCGCTCTTCTTCTATTGGACCTGGGGAGGTTTGGATGCAGGTGGATGATTCTGTGGTGGCTCAAAACATGCATGAGACCATTTTAGAGACCATGAAGGCGCTGAAGGCATTTACTGAGTTCAGGCCCAGAAGCAAAAGCCAGTCTTCTGGCACCAACCCGATGGGCTTTATCACCACGCGGCGACATTTGGGCAATCTGCCGCCCAGCCAGACAGGGCTCCAGCGGAGGTCTCGGACAGAGTCTGTGGTGGGCACTCCATCTAGCAGAAAGAGCAGTGGAGCGAACGGATACCGATTCCGCACCTCCAGTGAGGGAGAGAGCACAATGAACCGTCCCTTTCGCTCTGTGACAGGTAGCCTTATTCATCTCAACACAGCCCGTGCTAACCTGAGCCGGCAGGAAAGTAGTAGTGGGGCCGGGGGCCGCTACATTCGTGCACCACCGGGCTCCACTTATCATGCCCGTTCAGCCTCGCTGCCAGTGTCACACTTCCCTTCAACCACCAGTCCGATCAGCATGTCTAGCAGCAGCGGGCATGGATCTGTGTCAGACACCATCACTCGCCCCTCCAGCGCATCCATTTGTGGATCCCCAAGCGATGGAGGTTTCAATTCATCTGACGAGTATGGCTCCAGCCCTGGAGACCTCCGCTACTTCAGAGTACGCAGCAACACCCCTGACTCCCTGGGAAACACACCACCCATCCGTGAGGAGCACTGCCTCAATGACTACATGGCTATGGGCTGGAATCGTGATGTGTTCGGAACGAGCACGGCTGAGGCCGCCCGAGATGAAAGTGCTGATGAAGATTCACGACCGGGGTCTTTAAGGAGGCGGACGGCCTCCTTCTCCAGGTACGTTGGGGGTGCTAGTGCTGCTGGAGTAGCTGTTTATCAAAAGATGACCCAGACCACCTTCTCGCTGGACGAGGCTGTGGCTGAGAGTAGCTCTTGGAGCGGCAGTGCCCAGACTGTCTCTACCTCCTCCTCCCTCTGTTCTGACTACAGCTCCAGTTCTGAACACAGTCAGGACCGGCCCCCTAGCCTACGGCCTGCTGACGCTCCTAAGGATGATGGGTACATGCCCATGATGGCAGGTGTGCTGCCCTCCACTAGTGATGCAGACTACATGCCTATGCAACCAAATATCTTCCTCTCTGCCTCTCCACAAATCCAAAGGTCTGCTTTAAATGTTCCCCAGCACACAGACTCTCAAGGCTATATGATGATGCTCCCAGGTAGGAGTGGGGCTGCTGACTCCCCCCTCCCTTCCAGCCCTGACATTAGCAGACGAGCAGAGGCACAGAGAGCCTCTGACTGCCCCAAGAATGCAGAATACATGGATATGTCTCAGAGCAGCTGCACAGCTAATGCTCAAAAGCTTTCCACAGAGAATTATTATGCCTTGACCACTCCTGGCGTCCCCAAGTCCTACAGTCCATATTTCTCTCTCCCTCGCTCATACAAAGCCCCATCCAGAGACCAGGCTGAGCATGATGATTATGTCCCAATGAGTTCCCCAGCGAAACCAGTCTACATCTCGCCCACAGCCACCCCAGATCGCAGTAGCAGGTGCCCACCTTCTGAGTCTTCTCAGCATAATAGCTTTACGGACCGCCGTGCCGTTCGGCCGAACCGTCTGCCCCTAGGAAGGCGAAGTCACGGCTCTATGAGAGCATGCGAAGTGGCAGTGCGACCATCCAGCCCTGGAGAATACATGAATATTGAATTTGGGGATCGGCCCACATATCCTGCCTGCCCGTTGTCTGCTGAAGGTTCTCCATCAACCCTCAGTATCAACCGGGAGCAGCGTAAGTCCCCTCTGCCACAGGACTACATGACTGTCGAGGTGGCTGGACTTCCACCCAAGAGTCGGTCCCCTCGGCCCTCTCTGGTTGCCCCTTGGAATCCTCCTTCATATATCCGGCCCTCCTCATCCTCCCACTGCAGCGGGCTCATGGTGGGTAAGCCTGACGACTACACAGAAATGTCCTTTGGGCCTGAGGACGAGTCAAAGAGCCCCACAGCCATGCTTGAACACCTATGTATTCTGGAGCAACAGTTTTTCCCCTTCAGCCCCCCGACTGAGCCCAAAGTTGTCCGTGCTGATCCCCAGGGCAGGCGGAGACACAGTTCAGAGACCTTTGTCACATCTTCAGGAGCGTCAGGTGGAAGTGGCTCGGACACCAATGGCACTGTACCTAGCAATGTTGGGGCTCAGCAGGTGGGCCGCATCAAGGGACAAACTTTTGACTGCGTTTGGATTGATAGCATGACATCCAGTAGTGATGTAATGCTGGGAACCACATCAGATTCAGCAAATTCCCCCTCTGTGAGGTCTGCAAGGACTATAACTGTGGAACACCAGAATGGCCTGAACTACATCTCCCTTGACCTGAGAGATGATCTCCGGCCTGGGAACGCTCACAATGCGCTTACCTTGCCATCCCCCAGTGCTCCTCCTCCAGAGAACGGTGCCTATGCCAGCATAGATTTAATGAAATCTGAGGAGTTTACAGCAGTGTCTAAAGGTTAGCAATCTTTGATTTGACTCTAATTGTTTTTTGACAGTCATTTCTCTTAAAATCATGTCTCATTCCTTTATGAACAGACTTACCATCTATACTGTATTACAATCTATAAAATATGTTTTAACAAATTAAAAGGTTAGTTTACCCCAAAATATATGATGATATGCAACAAAAATGATATGCTTTATTCATTTACTCACCCTTGTGTCATTCCAAACCTATTTGAGTTTCTTTCTTTGGTGGAACAAAAAATATAGCCAAGAAAAGAAAAAAATTCTCCATACAATGAAAGTCCAATGTTGTTTCGACCCTGTTGACTTTAATTGAATGGGCAAAACAGTCTTCAAAATATATTTGAGTGTGTAACAGAAGAAAGTAAGGCATAGCCTAGAGGTTTGGAACAACATAAGGGTGAGTAAATCACAGAACTTGTAATTTTTGGACAAACTATTTAAAACAACTTTATTTTAATGGCCCCCTCCTCTTGCCATCTCCTTCCTGTTGCGTTACTCCTTCTAACTCATTTGCCCAAAATGTTTATTTTTTTTAATATCCACTTTAAGGGACTGCTATTTGGCTGAGTGTGTGTTGCAGCAGGGGGAGTGAGAGAATGCAGTGTTAGTGAGTCAGTGTTCTCAGCAAGCCCTAGATGACTAATTTGTTTATCGTAGTTGAAGCAGAGCTATATGCATGTGTGTGTGAGAGAAAAGGTTGGTTTAAAGCTTCTGATAACTTTCTAGCATATCTCACCCTCTCTCTTTTTCTCATACCTTTATTTTTCTTTGGCAAAACAGCACTAGATGCATGACTCAGGTGATGAGACACAGGAAACTTTATTTTCAGACAGCATTGCCAGCCAACTAGGGCAGCATGATATTGAAAAAGAAAAGTCCTGACATTGTAATAGATTGTTTTTTCTGCGTTATACATTGCCATAGGAAAACATTACTTGAATAGCTCTATTTGGGAAGAATTAATCTTTCCAGATTGATTGGGTTGACTTTTTTTTTTTTATTTTATTGGAGTGAATCTGTGTAGAAAATAATTAACAAATTGCAAGCATAGATAAATACAATAGAACAAAGAGACAAAGGAAATAACAGTGCTTTGTATTTCAGGTAAGTCTATCAGTATTCAGGTAGACCTACATAAATTGAAAAATCAAATGTAAAGAAAATCAAATGTGATTTTCTTTGTAATTTGTTGTTTGATTTGTTGAACATTGCCACAGACAGCAGCAGGAATATTTGGCACAAATTCATAATGATAAACATCTGTTTTCTTTCTCAATTGTTTAGTTCACATAAGCCAGGGGCTTATGTGACCTAAACTCAGTCCTTTAGGGCCACTGTCCTTCAGAGTTTAGCTTCAGCTTGCCTCAACAGACACACCTGTCTGGAAGTTTATAGTATGCCTAGTAAGAAAGATGGGCATTTTGGCTTAATTTTGGCGTGTGTCTATTCAAGCACAAATAGACAAGGGGACAACCAGAATTCAGTGTTTGCATGCTGTCTGTGCTCTGCTCTGTTTGCCTATATAAAACAGTGTGTGAAATTGAGTTCTCTTTCGTGTCGGTCGTCTTGTCGTTGAAAGGTTTGAAGTCGCTTGAATGTTTAAATGGAAAGTTTATCATTTGCACATTCTTAGGTTGTGACAGTCTGTGATGGTTAAACCTTGCAATTAATCTGAAAAACAGGTGCTTTTCGAATCATGGTGCCTGGTCTGTACAGATAAACTATGATCCCTATACTTGACATCAAACATCCTGTGACGTGACTATCACGGATACACACACATTACGATATTGATGTTAAACCCGGATATCGTGCAGCCCTACCACCAACCATCTACAGATATAGACTGCTGTGCATAACATGGTATGTCATTGGCATTGAAAAACACTGGCATCCTTTTGGGGGCACTGTAGGTAGGCTACTATGCTAATAGCTTCCACTATTTGTTGCAGGCTAATTTCACCTAAACACCATATAGGTCTCCATCTGCCATAACTTTAAACAAACAGGTTGTCCCCATCTAAACTCACATCATCAAGTCAATGTTGAGTACTAGACGCAACCGTTAAATGTTATAAAGGGAGTTTGACATGCAGATGGTTTACTTGCAGTTGTCTCTACACATCTTTTTGGTATAATTTCATTTACATTGAAACACTTACACACTTCATATTTTCAATTTAGCTTCGCTTGTTTGATATACACTATTAATCTATCCATCTATCTGTCCCATTTATTTATAGCTATAAAATCATCGTTCATGTTGTCTTTCAAAGGTTAGCATATCATCTCAAAAGTGAACCTCAGTTCCATAGATGGATTGCATCATTTCTGTGTAGCTTGTATGTTCATTGTGTCTGTACATGCCTGCCAGCATAAGACCAGTAACGTCATAAACTACACAATTCTAAACCTTTTTGATCTGTGTCCATACTACATGTTGGTCGGGGTAGTTTCTAGACTTTACTAGATTTTTTTGTATGATAACAGTACTTGTTGTGATATTGTTTGTGTGTGTTAGTTGATTTTTTTGTCTACTTGCTACTGTTTATAGGAGTCATGGATATTACAAATTATGACCCCCCCCCCCAAGCCTGTCCTCCCATTTTTAACTTCTTGCGAGCCCTGTTTTACTGTAAAATTGTTAAAACAACCAGTTTATTCATTTTTATGAGTTGATGAATTGGTCACTTTCAGTGTTGGTTCTTTTGTCGTCGTTGTTAGTAGATCTGGCCACAATCCTCTAGCATCACCAGTGGTTTGCAGACCACTGCTGCTCTTTTGGTGCCAGGTGTTGGTACCAAACATGTTGTACAGTTTCAAGCTTGTGCATGTTTTCTTGGCTCATCCACTGGTTTCTTTGATGTGGGTTAATAGTCTCAGCATTTTACAGCATGGGAGTTGTGCTGCAGGAAATGCATCAGTGTCGAAAAATGTTGTTCTTAAGCCTGCTGTGTTCATCCACCTGGAGAAACTAGGATTCAGTCCAGGCAGTTGTCTAACTCTTAATCTCTCTCTCACTCATGCATGCTCTGCTCATTTTCATCAGTATTATTGAACTCTTTTTCAATATTTTTTTACTTTATTGTACCTCAGTAGTGCCATGTTATTCTTTTAAGTACAATGGTATGTGAATATGGAAATCATTCAGTGCCAAAGTACCATATTCTTTTTGTTGTGCAGTGGTGGTCTGAAATGAGGAGGCAAAGTCTGCAGTGTTATTTCGTGTAAATTCATGTCCCAGTTACACATAGTATTGGCAGTTTTTCCAGGTTGAATAAATAAACATAACTTATCAAAAAAATAAATAAATAAATAAATATGCTTCTATTTTGCATTAATGTTCTACAATAGAAGAATACTGTTGTATTTTAAACAAAAGTTTAAAACTAATCATGGCATTAACTGTTGTTACATTTACTCAAAATTAAAAAGTATAAGAACACAGTATAAGAACAGATGCAATATTTCATATACATTTTATTTTCTGCTTTTTTAGTTTGTTCTGTTTAATAGTCAGCTTATTTTTGGACCATCTGTCATCAAAGCTAAACATTGTTCACAGACACAAAGATGTGTTCATTTCATTTCACCAAGCTGATTTTGATATCTTAAGTGCATGAGTATTATATTTTATTTTAGTCTTCCCATTAACAGCTTTATTTAACTGTTCATCTCGATCGGTTTGTGGATGCCGAACATATATTAAAATGAGAGTCGGGTTTTATTATGTAAACAATACCATAAGCCAATCAAACCACGATGGAGGTAAAGACTGCATATTCTATCTGACCTAAAAAGCCTCTCCACCCATCTAAAAATCTCTATGAACTGGTGCATATTAAAACACGATAACATCCCATCATAAATCAACTCCTCAACTTACAGTGTGTTAGTCTCCTCGCATTCCATTGTAAATTACACTTGTTCCTGTTGTGTGTCCTCAATCTGGTAACCCGCGTGAGCTTCGAGTCTGAGTAGGAGGGGCCGGGGGAATTTGGACTAGAGGTCGACCGATATGTTTTTTTTTCACGCCGATGCCAATACCGATCTTTTGAAATCCGGGATTGCCGATTAATGCTGCCGATTTATTTTGGCCGATATTTGCTTGGTTTTTAACCTCTATTTGAAAGTTAAAATGTAAAAGAAATGATAATTACTTAACATAGACAAACTTTCTCAACAAAAACATTTTATCCTCTCAAAAAATGTCCTGAAACATGTATTTTTGGTTTGTTTTGTTTGTTGACGGACAAAGACAAATGGACATAATAATTTTTTATATATAAGATTTATTATATTTTATTTAACTTCTAACAATAACGGATTTCACTAGTAAATTGCTGTTGAACGACAAAAACTGCACCACAACACACCGTCCGTCTGTTGTACTTCAGACAACGGCATCCCGCTGTTGGACCTTTTAGTCTACAGTGAAATACAGTCACACTTTACACTGTTTGGCCAGCATTTTAACCATGTTTAATCCAGCTACTAACTAACAGTCAGTGTTGTGCCTGAACACGTTCAATGAACTATAGTTCATTGATAGTTCAAATGACGGTAGGGGCAGTGTGTGTCAAACACGTGTTCCTCGACAACACTAGGCTGCCCACAGTTGCGCCTGCCTAATAATCAGCTTGATATACTTGGATATTGGCCGATGCCAATTATGTTAAAAAAAGCAAAAAAATCGTCCGATTAATCGGTCTACCTCTAATTTGGACTGCAGAACCCATTTCAATTGCTAGATGCCAATCTCACAAACTGCACCTTTAAAACTCAATGAGCTCAGAGAGGCACTGCCTCTCGCAGTAACTTTAATTGTTGGTGTTGCTGTTTGACAGTGTCACTTTAGAAAATTTGTGTTTTTTTTGTTTTGTTTTTACTGATCATATTTCATAATATTTTCATTGTCTTTGTGGATGTACTGTGGATTTTTTGGAAGAGTGTGGAAGAAGCACTGCCTCCCTTGTCTCGGGGGAA